TCAACCTGTGGAACTCCTTGCCATAGGACGTGGTGAAGACCAGGATTTTAACAGGGTTCAAGAAAGAACTAGATACATTAGGTACATCTAATGGTCTGACCCAGTCTGGCTGCTCTTTGGTTCTAGTGGCAGCCGGTCAGCGAGGGGAGGCCCAGGAGGTGAGAACTCTTAGGCACACAGTTTGCCGGCATGACTTGGCTGACAAATAATCTTGTATAATCAAGAAATGAGACTCGACTGATTGTGTTAAGGTACGTGCAAAGGAACAGGAGGAGCAGGAGAGAGGACGATCCTTCCTTCTGGCTTCTCTCCGCAGTGCCTCTTGCTTGCCCCATAGCAGCAGGGGGAGTGGAGCCCAGTATAAACAGGGGCACAGAAATTGCTCCCCTAAACAGACTCTGGTGCTGCACAGGGCCCTGCAGCCGAGAGAGGCCAAGGAATGATTTGGAGAGCTCCAGTTACAGCGGCCTGGGACTGCTGTTACAACTGGATTAAACAACTGCCCACAGCCCCGGCCAACAGGGGAGATAGGAATTCAGCCATCAGGCCGCCTGGGCAGGAGCTGTGTTTTCTCATGTCCGTACAGCACCTGGCGCATTCTGGGTCCAGCTGCAATGTACATGACCTACAACAGACACCATCACTTGCAACATGGAGCCAAATTTGCTGCTGGTCCAAATAGCCCAGGGTCCAGTGAGTGGAGCGGGACCAGTGACACCAGCATAGAATTTGGCTGAGTTCTTTCTGACAGCTACAAAATTGCTGTCCCTTCACCCTGGCGGTTCAAGCAGCAGCATGTAAGCACTGTGGATTTGGTCTGATTTGAAACAGTGTCACCCGGAAGACCGATTATTATGAGGTCAGAAGTTCTGCATTCTAATTCCGGCTCCGATACTGACTCTTTCCGTGGCCTTGAGCAAGTCGCTGCACCTTTCTGCCTCAGTTTCCCTATTATCCAATGGGAATAATAAGTGACCGATCTATGGGTGTGTGGGGATCGTGCTGCCCCAGGAATGCGTGTTTTATATTTTAACACTTGGCTGTTTCTCACATGAGCAAGTGCAAACCATTTCAGCACACAGCCTGAGGCTGAGTGAAACAGCTGCCCCTCCTCCCTCCTCTATGCTCCATATCTAGGAAGTTCCCCGGGAGGACAGCCACTGAAGGCAACTGTCACAGCTCGCATGCACCTCACACAGGCATGCAGAAAGGGAACACTGCCCAGCACAGGACGCTCAGAGACTAGCCAAACTCTGAGGCCTGTGCGCAAGGTTATTGCGGCCTTTGCAGAGAGGTTTTCAGAACAAATGATTCAATCGCGTATCAGGAAAACACACCCACCGTGCCAAGGAGCTGAGCACTCGCATTCCTTCCTCCCAGCTCACACACGTCCCTGGCTGCTTGCCAAATGGAAGGCCAGTGCGTAATGGCAACATGTCATGTTGTCCTGTCATTTCCTTGTGTCAGGCCTGGGCAAAGCCGGGAATCTCTCCCTAAGGTTCTGGGAAGTCGGGAGAGGAGATGGTTCACTCCCAGGAATATCTGAACTAGTGTGAGCTCTTGGGAGCGCTGTGGTTTTTGGTGACAATATGTTTTCCTGAGATTATAGTCACCACACCTAGCTTCACAGATCCAGCAACCACCCCAAACATACCAGGAAATCCCCTACCTACAGCCTCTCCTACCTACAGACACTCAGCTACCACAGAATCTGCTCCGAGGAGAAAGTGTGGCCAATTATACCCTAACCCACCTGCACCAGGCACAGGCACTCCACCAGAGAAGTGCCTTGCATCATGGAATGGGCCCCCCAAATACTCTAAGAGAACCTCCTTCCATATGGAAATATAACCCCCTTCAACCACACCCCCCCGACTTCTTCCCCCACACCCCATACAGGAACCGATGCATGGTACCGTTGAACAATGACCACTCGGGCTGTCGGTGAATTGCAGTTAACTCACAATTAACTCAAAAAGCAATCACGATTAAAAAAACGAATCGTGATTAATTAGAGTTTTAATTGGGCTGTTCAACAATAGAATGCCAATTGAAATTTAGTAAATTCTAGAATTACCCAGTGCTGCCCAAGTCTGGCTTGGGAAATGGGGGATGGTTTAAGGGTAGGTCTGGCGGGGCTCCCCTCCATTCAGTGCTGGGACCGAGAGCTGTGTGTAGGGTATTAGGGCAAGAGGGTCACTTACCCGGGCCGACACCAGGCAAGATGGTGAGCCCCATCCCCAGCTGGCAACTCCCTTGGTGATGCAGCTGCCTCCGGTGATCACTCTGCAGTATAGCTGTCACCTGTGCTTGCTGCCCCCAGTGGTGAGGCTTTTGGGGAGGCTAAATACACCGAGCTCCTGAAGTCCCGTCTCCTAAGATAGATTATCTGTTCCTCTGGCAACCGGAGTCGCCCTGCTCTGCGCCTGCTCCCACTGGAATTCATCTTCTCAAACACGGGAGACCAGCGCTGCGCACACTACTCCAGAGGAGGTCTCCCCAGTGCCTTGCATAATGGTATTAGCACTTCCACCTGGCATAGGGGGGTGGGGGTGACCTGGGGCAGGGAGTAGGAGGGAGGGAGGGACTGGGGTGCTACATGCAGGGTAGGGCTGGGAGGTGCTTACCTCAGCCAGCAGCCCTGCAGGACCCTGAGGCAAGCTCCCTACCTGCCACAGCCTCAGGCTGCTCAAAATGGCTGGGGGGCGCCCCCTGGGGCGAGGCTTTGTGTGCTGTCCCCAACCTCCAGCAAAATCTCTCAGCTCCCTTTGGCCAGTTTCCAAGCTGAGAGATTTTGCTGGGGGACTGGGGCAGAGTGTGAAGCTTCCCCTCCCTCCCCCCTGGCACTCAGAGCAGCGAGCCACAGGGTGCAGCCAGCTGTTTAAAGTGGCATGGGGCTACTCCAAAGAGGCTCTGTGCCTGAGGGTCGCAGTGGGGCAGCCCATGGTCTGGATCAGGTGGCCCATGGGCCGGATCCACTGGCTTGATGGTCTGAATCTGGCCCACCCCGATCTAGACGGTCCCTGACAGGTGTCTGTCTAACCTGCTATTAAATATCTCCAGAGATGGAGACTCCACAACCTCCCTGGGCAATTTATTCCAGCGCGTAACCATCCTGACAGGTAGGAAGTTTTCCTTAATGTCCAACCTAAACCTTCCTGGTTGCACTGTAGGCCCATTGCTTCTTGTCCTATCCCCAGAGGTTTAAGGAGAACAATTTTTCTCCCTCCTTCTTCCAACACCTTTTTGGCTACTTGAAAACCAGTATCATGTCCCCTCTCAGTCGTCTCTTTCCTAGACTAAACAAACCCAGTTCTTTCAATCGTCCCTCAAAAGTCTTGTTTTCTAGACCTTTTGTTGCTCTTCTCTGGACTTTCCCCAATTTCCCCACATCTTTCCTGACACGTGGTACCCAGAACTGGACGCAATACTCCAACCGAGGCCTAATAATGCAGAGTAGAGCCGAAGAACCACTTCTTGCATCTTGCTCACAACACGCCTGCTAAGACATCCCAGAATGATGTTTGGTTTTTTTGCAACAGCGTCACAGTGTTGGCTCATATTTAGCTTGTGGTCCACTCTGACCCCTAGACCCCTCCACTATGATTTTTTTTCTTTTCTTTTTTTATGGCATACCTCCCCCCCCCCGCACTATTGCTGTTGCCTTCCTTTCCTTTCTGTCCTCCCAGCAGCAGGGGCGGCCCGAGGCGGGCTGCCGGCAGCTGGTGCCCCAGGTGGAATGCGCAATCGGCACCCCTGCTTCCACAGCCCTCAGTGGTGTGATGTCATCGTTGGGCACCCCGTTTAACGCAGCACCCCAGGCGATGGCCTAGTCGGCCTATACGCATG